TCTGCAAGATTCTGCAATTTTTATTGGCTCCGAGCTAATTTTTGTACATCGATTTTCTTGACATAAGGGAATCCGATGTGATGCTCTATTTTCACCCAGGTGACTCATGAATCCACCCGAAGGGTTGCTTTTTTTAGCCCACCCGGGTTCTACCCGGGTGGCATTTTTTTTGACGGGTCCAATCACTAGTTTGAACCATTTGAAATTTTTAGAAAAACTTTTTTTTTTTTTTTTATTAAGGTCAGACCAATTTGATTTCTGTTTAACCCCTTAATTTTTCGAAACTATAGAAACCAATACACATATTATTAAGTAATCCCTTCTAATACACATTAATTAGCCAATAAAATTACAGCATTTGATTTTATCATAGATTTTTTTTTTTTTTATATATAATACCCCACCCCCTTTTACAAGTCATCTCATGTTGAACAGAAAATCAAGTTGGTCTGCTCTGCCTAATAAGGAATTATATAGGCATGAGATCAGAGTTAACTTAACCTGTCCCAGATTTTCTATATACTGCATCACCATACTTTATTCGATTTTCGACCAATTCTAATTTCACCTCCGATTCATTGAGTTGCTTGCTTGCTTGAGAACGCCCTTAATTGTACAAATTTGTACATTATAATGAATGATTTAAATGGTTGTTATATGTTTGTGAATATCATATATCTGCACCGATCATGTACAAATGACGCATTAACTCCACAAAATAGCTTAAAGATTACATCAAAAAAACTTGCAGCGCTCATCCCTACACAATATGGTATGATTATACTGTATCATGTTGATTTATTCAACTTTCTCACGCCTAATCCTAAACATATTCATTTTGTAATGCCGTTATTTGCTCGATACTTAGGAATTGTTTGGCTGCATCTTACATAGAGATGTGAAAAATCAGGCCCAGTCCAACTTGACTTCAGAAGTTGAATCTTAATTTGGACTCGATCTAAGGTCAAAATCGATTTGTAATATGATATATGATCACAATTTTACATTGTACTCAAGTAAATGCGATACAAGATTAGATTTATTAATTTCAGATATCAGCCTGTGTTATTGCTAATTTTAACTACATTTCCAGCGGCCAAAGGAAGAAAAAAAAAACAAATAAAGATCTTGTCGACACCTGAAAATCGATTCTATAAACTGATATTTACGTGAATATGAATTCAATACAGAGTTGTTATGAGTCAAGATATAAATAATTGTATCTGGTATGTACGTACTGTACATCGAGCTACTCATTCATGTGATATTTATCGTGCTTTGCAAATTGTGTGACCCCTATGACTACTGAGTCTCTTAAATATTTATCGTTATAGGAATTGTGTGGCTGCCAACAATCATTTCCTTAGCATCTAATCTCAGCCAACATTGACCATAAATCAGACTAACCATAAATCTAAATCAAGCCAACCTTATAATAAGAGCAATCGCAATCACAAAAATACAATACGGTAAATAATTTAAAAGGTCACAACACAATTTTACGACAATGCACAATGGATCGTATCATTTAAATATCGTTAATGATAAGCTATATCAGATATAGTCTAATTATCATAAACGATTAGCAAAGTTTTCATGTAATCAGGAAACCGATACAAAAATAGTGCAATTTTCATAACGCAACCCTAAGTTAAAAATTATAGCGCTTTGCAAAAAGATGTGATCCCATGATTTTTGTGATTATCGAGGAAAATTTCCGAGATTGTCTATTATGGCGGTTTGCAAAAAGGTGTGACCCTGCGATTTCGTGATGATGATAGCAGAAAAATTTCCGAGATTTTAATTCCCTATTGATCATAATTTCGATCAATAACATTTATATGTTATTTGGAATATTTAAAATTCTTTAAGAATCAAAAAATCTACTAGAATCGGTTGATTTTTCGTGATTTTACATGACATTATGATCTGCAGAGGTCACACCTTTTTGCAAACCGCTATAATTCATATTTTCAGTTATATTTACATTATTTGAAATCGGTAATATTCTTAAAATCTACAGAATCACCGATTCTCACACAACCAGAGATCGACAAGAGATCGATAAAGTGCACAAATATATATTAAGACATAATTTTAGCTATTTTCACAAGATTTTTAGATATAATAATAATAATAATAAAGGTAATATTATTGATACTCTCAAGCATCAACCTTGCTAATGGTACTAGCTTTTAAATAGTTAAAGGAAATCGAAAATTTCGCAAACACAAAAAAACGTAATACCACAATATGATGAAAGTGCATGAACAATAACTCTATTTACTTGAATAATCATAAAGTTTTATATGCTAGTAAAAGATGGTTCGGTGCAAAAATCTATTGAAGCCTTTTGACACAATAAATTAAATGCTCCGTGATTTATTTATCGATTAAAATGCTTTCCGCTAATTTAAAATTAAGTTTCCGTACTCTTATACGTAAAATTAATAGATAATGCCTACTTATAAATATTGCTTTATAAATTTACGTATATTTTCGCTATATTGTTAATAAAAGTTTTGAAAACCATAACATTATATTACTGGACAAAAAAAGAAAAAATATAATATCTGTTCATTTGATGGTATACAGAATCACAGGGTTGTAGTTAACCTAAATTTATCAGATGATCAAAGATTGCTGTTGATCAACGTGTGCCAACCCTGGGTATAACCTCGACATATCCTATTGAAACATGATACAAATTTGGAAATTATCCATTTTCATTTGGCAGCACTTGTTTTGTGTGCTGAAATTTTAATTCATCCAAGAAATAATATCTTTAAATTTTATAATCAATTTGAGAGACGAAAATTTCAATAATCAACTTTTAAGCTCAAAAAAAAAAAGTTATATTATCAATTTCATTATGAACATCAATTGTAATTATGTAAAAAATGAATGTTGCATTTTCAAAACTAGCACTCCAAGATAAAGTATATATTTCCATGGATAATACACAAATTTTTTTAAAAAAATGCGTATTTATGTATTGGTTTCCATAAAAGTTTATAGGTAATCTGACTTATTACTGTATTAAGGATTTTTAAACTGTTCAACTTTCTCAACTTTATGCACCTGAAGATTTTTTCCAGCAAGATTTTCCCATGTAAGAGCTAGAAAAAAAAAAAAAAAATTAATGCTTTAAAAAAAAAAAAAGAAAAAAAAAGACTCGAGATATTTTATAATAAAAATAAATGAGATAAACAAGATTTTACAACAAATTACATACGCCAAAGCTGTAATCTCCTCATATTATAATTACATCCTTCCTTTTGAAGGTCAAGTTGCTCAATATTTTCCCTTTCAATTTCAAATTCTGCCCTTTTAACTTCGGTATCAGGCTTCACTTTAACATTAATGGATGCAATCTTAAGGTCTAGAAGGACACCAATTCTAAAATTAAGTATCTAATAAATAAATAGATCGAAAGTAAATATAAATACGAAATTACGTATAGAAAAAAAATAAATAAATAAATAAAGGACAAAAAATTACCAACAGGTACAGGCCTTGGAAGAAAAAAGAAAGAATAATTCAACAAAAGAATACAGAAATATACAGGAGTTAAGACCTAAAAGAAAAATGGAAGAAACAGTGCCGCTCACTTCATAAACAATCACATTATAGACAATTTAATTCATAGACAAATTTTACAAACAATTAGTTCACAGACAATTTCATTTCATCGACAGCTTATTCTACCGATAGCTTATCTCACAGGCAAAGTAATTATTATTTTAAAAAAAAAAACTTGTCTGTGAAATGAGCTGTCGGCTGTCAAGAGATAAATTGTCTATAAAATGAGTTGTCGGTTAAATAAACTGTTTGTGAATTAACTGTCTGTAAACTAAGTCGTCTATAATGTGATTGTCGGTGAAGTTACGGATCAAAAAAAACTTAATAACTTTAATAATGGAAAAACATGACAAATAATGAAATAAAACTAACCACCGCGAGGATACATTGCATGAAAAACGCAAGAAAGTGAAAAGCAATAGGATGCTTGCTTAATTTAAAATCTAGTGCCTCCAGCATCTTTGACAACTAAAGAAAAAAAAGGATTAAAAGAATTAAGATAAGGGCTATGCAAAAGTGGATTTCACTCTCAAGTGTTCTACATATCAGTTTATATCAGATTTTGCAGCAACTTAAGTTTCGTCTATCGTAACATAATTAATATTGTTGAACATTTAACTACACCTTTTTTGTATTCTCCTGTTTTTCGGATTCTTCAACTTCATCTTCATCTTAATTTGAAAGCCAAATCAAAGGTTTTATATTGTATTTTAATGATAACGATAATATATTTTTTGGGCGATTATAACGACAAAGCATGCATGTGATCTATCTCCGTTATCGGCACAGCAAGTGATCGACATTAAAAATCAAAGTTTTTTTTTTAAATTTGAACGAAGATACCTCGACAGTGAATTCGATGAATTCTTTTTTATTTTAATTCTACAGACTTATAAAATTAAATAAAAAAAAGCTCATTGAATTTACTTAGATGGTTGCCGAGATATCTTCGTTTAAAGTCTGCTTAAAGGATTAAAAGTCTACGAATTAAAAAAAATTTTTAAGACTTTGAATAAGGTATCTAGACAATCATCAAAGCAGATCGAGTAGCTTTTTTATATTTTAATTCTGCATATCTGTTGAATTTAAAATTAAAAATTTCATCGAATTAGCTTAAATGGTTGTTAAGATATCTTCGTTTGAAATTTCTATTTAATAGACGGTTGAATTTTTTACTAAACTTTAAACGAATATATCTCAACAATTATTAAGCAAATTCGATGAATTTTTGTTTATTTTGGCTCTATTGACTTGTAAGATAAAAAGGTTCACAAATATCTTTGTTCAAAGTCTTAAAAAAATTTATCCTTCTATTTATAGACGTTTTAATCCTTTACCGAACTTTAAATGAATATACTTCGGCAACCATCTAAGCAAATTCGATGGAATTTTTTTTTATTTTAATTTTACAAGTCTGTAGAATTAAAAAAAAAAAAAGAATTCATCGAATTCGCTTGGATGGTTGACGAGATATCTTCGTTCAAATTTTAAAAAAAACATTGATTTTTAATGATCAATTAACCATAGCAACAAAATTGTCATGGTAGATCCTCGATTTTGATTGGCTAACGACCGAGGATCTTCAAAAATTTGGCCCGCATTACATAATTGTTTACTAATTTCCGGCCGGAATTAACTTTTTAATTTTTTCTTTACAAAATAGAAATTTTTAAAAAATAAGCCTGCATTATGGTAAAATTGGGGCGGATGTGATTTTATTAGTAAAATCCCGAGTAGTTCCGGCCTAATTTTTTGATCATCGTTGCGGCAGTAAAAAATCGCTCAAGAAAAATTTTGTTACTCATGATTAGGGTTGAAAATTACATAAATTACCTTTACGTTACAAAT